GCTCTCCCACAATTTTTATTTTATTCAAAATATGTCTGTTAACACATTATCATCCATGATTAACATTAAAAAGTATAAAAACAGTAAGAGAAAATGCAAAGGAATAATATTTGTCAACATTACTTGATATTATTGTTTCCCACTGCCTACATTAATAAATACATTATTTGGTGAATATCTCACGAACGGTTAGTTTTAGGCATATGGTACTAAAACTTGTTAAAAGACAATTAAACAAAGAATCCAAAAGTGGTAAAATATACAGGGTGTTCCATTAAAAAAAAATAAAGTTCATGTGATTTCCGGTGAAACAGAAAACAGCATTAATTTAGCATCTATCCCAAACAATAGATGACAAAAAATGTTCAACTTTGTTCTAAGAAGTATTGTCATAACTTTGAAAATAATGGACTTATGGCTTGGGGCGGTTTTCATAATACAGCCTGTATAAGGTGATTTTGAAATAGACMGAAAAAGTTTTATCACAGCTTCCCAAGGATAAATGGAGACAAACTGACACTATACCCTTTTTACGTTTATACCTTTTAGGGGCGAAACCCCCTTGATCCGTGCCACTTACGTCGTTTATGAATTGTTGCAATGATCAAGTACATCAAATTATAGTTGGTACCAATAATATTTGAGACTCATTATAGAATAAGGCGATTACCCCCCACGGTGGTTCATGGGGTTTGCGATAGAGATGCCATAAACAAATTTGCATTTCTTAGGACAGGCAAGTTTCAAAGGTTTGTAGGAAGAGATGGTCCGTAACAGAAATTTGTTTTTGGGCTTTCATCAAAAAAAAATTAATTAATTTTAATATTCAGCTATATTTTGAGATTGTTTCTTTACAAATCTGCATTACCACTTTAATATTAAATTAATATATAAATTCCCAAATGTTTGCCTGTAATAAGTTAAAARCCTACCACGAAAATTCCTGAATACGGCTCTGTTCTATATCTTCAGGGTAGTACCACCAGCAGTGAAAAATTATTACGGCCTACCGCAAGGCTGCTTAATCCTCAATAAAGCTTTGCATACGTCAATCTCAAATATTCCTGGTGACGACTATAATACCATGGATTCCACTACCTGTGCTTATACTTAATTCTGTATTAAAATCGAGCAAAATTGGATTGAAAATAGCTCAAAATTATTGTTATATTTATTTGGAAGAAAACATTTACTGAAGTCAGTATTTGGTTGAAATACTTTGATTCAGGTTGATTTCCAACATCAAATTGAGCCAAATTGATTGAAAATATCACAAATTGCTT